GGGCATCCTCCCGGAAGCGGAAACGAGAAGACGAGGTAGCGACAGTCGCAGGCCTCGTCGCAGCCCGGAATGACGCCGCCGTGTATCGAAGAAAATGATCACGGTCACCGATGACGGTAATGGCCGGGGTGACCGTGCGCGGCATTGGGACCGCAGTCATTTTTCTAATCATACATTAAGGTTGTCAGTCAAGTCACGAAAACGCGTGTTTTGGCGGCGAGTTTGCTCGGATTTTCTGAACGCAAATTTTTCAAACGCGATGGCAAAACTCACAACATACCGAAAACTAGGGGCATGGGAGTTTTCCACGAGTTTCACATCCGCCTGATCACAGCAGTGCCGGATCCACCCGTCTTGAAAAAAAAAAATGAAGTGGGGGTTCCGCTCTTTCGTCAGCACAAACGAGTTCCAGACTGCACGGGTCGTACCGGTTTGCGTCGTGGACGCCCGTATCGCTTCATCTGCGCAGAGTCCATAAACGGATCAAAGCGCGACAGGATCTGCCACAGATGCCGTCGAAGCAACCGCGAAAGATAGACAAGTAGAAGCTTCTAAAAAGCGGTCCTCTCCAAACGCCCCCCCTCAGCCTGCCAAGAAGACGAGACACATCGCCCTTTCGACGGAGAACCATTCTATCCTCGTGGCGAGCTACAATATTCGCTTCAGCGGGTATTCGCGCAGGTGCACGTGATCCGTCGGGCGGCACAACGATGCACCAGACTTGCGTTTGTTGCGGGCAGGTACCTTGCTGGAGGTCAGTCCGCTGAACTCGTGGAATTTTTCAATCTCGGGTTTACTTTACGTCCAGCGACTTCGTCGGCAAATGGAAAAAAAACAACGCATTATTTTACGGACAACCTTAGCGCAAGGTTCCATAGTAGTGACACGTCTATAAGTTGAAACCCAAGCAACCACTACCTCATGAGCGACGCTGTGTCGTACCAGTGCTTCCGCTTGCTTGTTCATGCGTCCTTTTCACATGCTGGGATAAATCCCACGCTCTGGTATACGACTTGTCGCAGTTTGGACAAATGAAGCGCTTCTTGTTGTGAAAGCTCTCTTCGTGTCGAACAAGCTCGTGCTCACTGAAATATTTCGCATCACATTCAGAATGCTCACATTCGAATGGTTTTTCTTTCCTATGCACTCTCCGCCAATGGCGTTCTTTTTTGCTTGGATTCGCAAAAAAAGCCTCACAGCCTGGCATGTCGCACTTCAAATGTCCGTGCCTCCCGCGTTCCTTGTAGCCTCGCTCTCGTCGCTTTAGAGCTTCTTCTGCAATCAATATCGATTCGACGCTAGAGCTCCTGTACTCCTTACCTATTTCCTTTCGTGGTTTCGATGATCGGCCCCTTTCCATGTTTGTTGTTTTCGGTAGCTTTTTTTACTTGTGGCGTTTTGAGTGTGTTCTATCTTGCAAGAGGATCGTAGTTGTGTGTCGTTTGAGGAAGACAAGAATTGACCCATCAGTATATATACCTGTCAAAGGCGTGCTAGTGTTCTATATATTACTTCTGTAAATGGTATCATCAACAGGATGGATGTTGCGAGGTATTTCCGGTCGCTCGCCCCTCTTTAGATATATTTGACAACGAAACCGGCAGTCAAATATATTTATTCGAGCACTAAAGAAAGAAACAAGGGATAAGAAAGAAATGCGACATTGACGACCTCTCAGGTGTCATGCAGGCTGACAGGTTTGCCATGTCACATAACAAAAAACCTGTCGTTCAGCTCGACAACAGAGACAATGAAACAGACTATTTTTTAGTCTTTCGGCTCATCCCGACCGCTACGCATGTCGAACATTTTTACTCGAATTGCCTCCGCACAATGGAGGCCCAAAACCAACATCCGAATGTGACCGACTATCTCCCCAGATTTGGGAACAGAAGACACGGAGCGGTTGAAAGTCAGCGTATCACACTCGTTTGACACAAGAATATTTGCAGGGTGGCGGCGACGACAAGGAAAACTTGTTTCTTTATAGTAATCGGTCCAGATAGAATCGTATTTCGGTTATAGAAGTACTAAATTGAACTACATTTCAAGCTCATGAACTCGCACTGTTTTGTTTCCACGGTAAACTGCCGAGATAGAAAATTCATAGGGCATCTCGGCATCGAAATACCACATTTCCATATAATTTTGCCTTGCCCACGCCGCCGGCCTTCAAACGACCTGGTGTCCAACTTGTGCGATATGCCGATTCTCGACCACTCCGTATCTTCTGTCTCCATACCGGGGGAGTTTTCAGTAGAGATTTTCATGGTACTTATGGGCGTCAAACACGCGAACATAGCACGAGTATGGCTGTTTGAAGTTTGTAGCGGGCGGTCTGAAAGAATAAAAAGTAATCGACTTGAATGTCTCTGCTGTCAGGCCAAAGACAAGTTCCTCGTTCTATCACGTGAAAAACGTAGCTCGAGTGAGACCTGAGAGGTCGCCAGTGTCGAATCTCTCCATATTAATGCTTGTTTGTTTCTTTTTTTGGGCTCGGATAGCTACATTCGACAACTGTTTTTATGTCAAAACACGACGAAAGAAGGGCAAGCGACCGGGAATGTCTGAAAAGAATCGTCCTAGGGGCTCATGTCTTTTTACAGAAGTAATACATAGAACACAAGCATGCTCTTTGACGAATATATATACCGATGAGTCAATTCTTGTCTTCTTTAAACGACATACAACTGCGATCCTCTTGTAAAATAAACATACTCAAAACGTCGCAAGTAAGAAAAGCTACGGAAAACAACAAAAATGGAACCGGGCCAATCATCGAGAGCACGTAGGGATATTGGTGAGCAGTACATAACCTCCGAAGTTGAAGCACTGTTTATTGCAGACGAGGCTCTAAAGCGACGGGAGCGAGGCTACAACGAACGGGGGAGGAACGGACTTTTGAAGTGTGACATGCCAGGCTGTGCAGTTTTATTTAAGTATCCTAGCCAGAAAGAAAGGCATTGGCGGAGAGTGCATAGGAGGGAACAGCGGTTTGAGTGTGGGTATTCTGGATGTGATGAGAGATTCTTCGCCGAAGCCGAGGTGAAGCGACACGAAAAGGGCGTGCATAATAATGGGACTGGCTTCAGTTGTCCAGATTGTGACAAGTCGTATGACAGAAAGTGGGAGTTATCCCAACATGTGAAAAGGAAGCATGAACAAGGAAGCAGAAGCACTAGTACGACACAGCGTCGCTCGTGAGGTAGTGGTTGTTTGGGCTTCAATGTCTAGACGTGTCATTGTTTAATAAAAATGGAACCTTGTCCTGAATTCTATGAGACTCCTTAGTGGAAAGCGGCCTTTAGTTGAACTTAGAACGGGAACGATTTGTTTTGGAGGCTCCAAAATGTCAAAAGAATGGAGGCTCCAAATTGGAGCGTCCATTCTGTTGACATGTTGCCATTGACACAATTTGGACCTTCGACTGCACCAAAACCTTGGAAATCTTGTATGAGCCTGACGTAAGCTGGGGCAAATCCCGCAAGGCGTATAGCCGTAGTCAAAGTAGTGTGCCAATCTAATTGCACCACTGCCTCGCACACTTCTACGATACGCACGCCAAGCGCTGTTGGTAGAAGTTTCTTAGCAATCCATGGCTGCAGCCCTGTTACAAAAGTGGCTATTATGGCAATTCGTTCCTTGCCAACAATTCTACGTAGTATATTTTGATGATGCATTTTACTTCCCTACTGTGCAGGTGCACGCACTAGTAGAACCAACTGGTGTCAATCGTGGCATTGCAATTGTGGTCCCTTACGTGAAGGTCCTCTACAAGTAGCGAACAGAGTGGCGGACTACACCAAATGAGTATGGCAGCCCTGAGGAGATTAGTAAGGTGTTGCACAATAAGACGGATGCTTCGGTACTGCGCGGTAGATGTCAGCAGTATAAATAGGATAGTAATTGTTGGTGATAAAGAATGGAGCTCTGGTAGCACAGACTCAACAAGAAAACCTTCTCACAAGCCTGGCCTCATTCCGTGCTCTCATGCGGCAAGCGCTGCAGAGCAGCACGGGCATGATGCAGAGCGCGGGGGGCGCTGCCTGTCGGCTGTAATTTGACGGAGGCTAACCACCCAATGAACTGGCGCTATGTCCGCCGGCATCATCGGTGATTGGCTGACGATGCCTTGCGACAGAGTAAGTCGTCATTTGTAGTTGATCAGATTCTCACCCCAGACGACACAAAATGGCTGACTACGTCGCCGTGGGCCGCATCGCCCCCCGCGGACAGCCGCTCCCGCTCCGCATCTAGTTTCCGCGATGCGATTCCACTTGCCAGGGCCCGGCGCCAGTCGCCGCTTGTACGCGACGCGCGAAGCGAAACACGCGATTGGGATAGCAAAAGTAAAGAAGGTTTAATGTTCATTAACCCTTCCGCCGAGTTGATGTCTCGCAACGGTGGGTACTCGTGCAGTCGAGCCACCTCACCAGCTCGGCGCCAACGCTAGGCTCTCCGCTCCTCTCCTCTGCCTCTTTCTCTCCCGCTACTCGCGAGGAGGGCCGTGAAGCAGACATGACACGTGTTGTACATGCACACGTGTGTACACGTATTCATCCTTCTTCTGTTGTGATTGGTGTAAGCTACCTCGTACAGTATGTGCAGATACAGTTTTCTTTTGCAGTCGGCATTGTTGGACCGCCTTGTTGGACACCGGACAACTCAAGCTTTCAGGCACCCACGAACCGCATCTCTTTCCCCTTCCAACTCACCTCACCACACCCTCAACCCTCCCTCCGAACACCTCGCACCTCGCACCCTCTTCCTTCCTACCTCATCCTGCCCACGCTCCGAAGACACACGCAACAGAAAACCAACATCCCAACCTCTAACCACCGTTCCTCGACTCTTCCCGCCACCTACCTTCCCACAAACCCCCCTTTCGCACCTCACAACCTCACCCCAGATCTACCCCAAAGCCCAGCTCCTTCTCCGCAGCCACCGTTTCCGTTTATTACTCACATACCAGTCCGCCTTTTCCCTTGTTATAACTCGTTATGGCCGATCCGTTTGGCATCGCGGGCCTCACCGGGACGGCGGAGCAAGTCGTCCGTCTTGTTATCGCTCTCATTGATCGCCACGACGCCTACAAGAACAACAACGACTTGGCCCTCGAGATGCTCGAGGCCTACAAGGCGCTGTCTAGGAATGTTAGGTTGTTGCGCGACGACCCACACCTCGACATCATACAGGACCCACATCGGGAAATCTTAAAAGGCAAGATTGACAGGGTCTCCGACTTTGTCAAAACAACTCTGACTGAACTCCAGGGTGAGCGAAAAGACCCCAAAGGCAAGCTCCGTAAATTTTCGAAAGCCGTCAGCGAAAGAGACATTCTTGTCGAGCGCAAGCAAGATGCAGCAGAACAGCGCAAAGAAGTAGAATCGGCAAGCGCTTACCTCAGCCTCTACGCCAAAATTGATTCCGTTGCGATCAACAAGGACGTATTCAAGTCTTGCGTGTGGGCGCCGAGAAACCCAGATTCCGTGTATATTGATTTGAAACTGCGACAAGGTCATGGGGCACAGGACACATGCGAGAGACAGCTCAAGGCGGCGGTACTACGGACTGACGGAAGCGCTCAAGTCGGCGCGTTTGCAGTGGGGCAGGGGGGTGTCGGAAAGACATGCGCGCTGCGGGCGATTGCACACGACGAGGAGGTAAGAGCTCGTTTTCCTGGAGGCGTGTACTTCTTGACCCTTGGACAAGATGCAAGCGTTGGGCGATTGATGCAGCAGTTTTGTCTTGCCGTCAACGCAACAAGAGGACATAGCACGGCCGAGAAGATGCGTGAACAGACGGAACTGCAGGAGGTGCTATCGTTGCTGGTATCGTGGTTTGGAGACCGGATATGTCTTTTCATTTTCGATGACGTATGGGCACGCAATGGCATTAACAAGGAAATCTTACAACAGCTGTCTGTTCTGGCAGGCAGTGGCACGGGCATAGGTGGGGCGACGAGCAGAATTATGTATTCTACTAGAGATAGAGACTTGACGCTAATTGGCCAATCAATCGCGTTCGGTGCGCGATTTTCTCGAGGATCTGATGCAGAGATGATGCTTCGGCAGGCTAGTGGGCCTCTTTGCGATGAAGAAAATAGCTCATGTTCCGAGGAGGCCATTCACGCGATTCACGCGATATTGGACATGTGTGCAGGACTGCCACTGGCGTTGAATGTTGCGGGAACGAGTGTGAAGTACATGAAGAGCCAACGGCGCACAGCAGATGTGTCGAGTATATGGCAATTGTATTTAGACAAAGTTAAGAATCGGGGAGGAATGTCTGGTGACAGCCCAGGTGATGGGTATTCTTCGCTGAAAGCAATGCTACTATCATCTATCGATATTTTGGAATCGAATTCGAAAGCCGCTGGAGAACAAACGTTCTCCAGCGGGTTATCGCATAGGGAAATGCACCGGGGATTGTGTGTGATGGAAAAGCAAGATTGGATTCCGGTATCGGTTTTGAAAGACTTGTGGGAAACAGATGATGAGAATGCAGCGGAGAAATTGGCAATGCAGATGAGTAATGTTGGTCTAGTAGACTTTGAGTACGGCCGCGGTTGTGCTGGGTTGCGTATGCACGATCTGACCTTGGATTTCACAGTAGATGAGGCAGATGCGAATGAAGGGTGTGCAGCTTGGTTTGGGAAAGTAGTGGACAAGTATAGCAGAGAGAGGGGTTTGGTTGCAGCAGCAGTGGAAGATGGAAGCTTGGATGACAACAGATTTAGAGAGGAGTACGTTGAGGAAAACATCTACCGGTTATTGATGGGGGCAGGACGATTGGAAGACCTGAAGAATTTATTGCTGAGTCCTGAGTGGGTGGTGAAGGTGTTGCGGCGGAAAGCGGTTTTGCAGTACGAAAGAGCTGTCAAGGATCTGCAAAATTGTTGGAGGCGGGGCGAGGGCAGGCGTGAAGTTGACAAGGATGCGATATCTGGAATGCAATTGGTGATGAAGGCTGCGCGCCTGAGTCTTCCTTTCTGCGATGAAAACACTGCCGGGATATGCTTTCAACTTTATGCTCGTATGATGTACAAGGCATCGTCATTGGAAAGTGTGCGGAGGTTCTTGTCGGACATGAAGGCATGGGCACCGGAACCATGGTTGTGTCCTGTGAACGAGTGCTTACACCGAGCCGGTGGAAATATGGTGGAAGTGTTTATGATGCCCGATCCGTACAGGGATAGATGGAGGGGATGGATAGTTTCAAATGTATCAGAACGGATGGATGTGGGTGAAATATTTATTGTGTGTGCTTGCAATACAGATGGGAGCGACGTAGCAATTCTCAGATTCTCCCGAGAGGAGCCTGTCGAAGTCGTGAATGTCGAGTGTGAGGGGCCGCAGTTAGTGCAGGATAGAGAAACGAGTGAAACCGTCGGGTCGGATACATTGGAGCAGAGTGAATCCATGCGTGAGTCACAACGCCCATCTACAGGGCCCGAGCAAGCAGAACAAGGATCAATTTTCAACCGAACAAGGCGATGGGTTGCGCAAACAGTGGGTTGTTTTGGGAAAATTTTAGAAACATGCTTGGGCTCAAGCAACATATCCGCAACGGCCAGCAATGATACCGCGGGTTCGCAGGCAACTAGTGCATCTGCAAGTGACAACGGTAGCGCCAGCGACGCAAGTGACCGATGGGGTGTCGTTGATGCACGTGTGTGTGGAAGCGGTGAACGAATAGCTGTCCTGTACGCAAATGATACGGCAATGGTGTGGGGCGTGTCGGAAAAACGAGCGATCAGCAGGTTTCAGGTCGGTAGAAGGTGGCAGTACGTGAGCTGTATGCTTTTGAGCTCGGACGGGCAGCTATTGGTGCTCGGGTACTCGGACGGAACTGTGCAAGTTTGGAGCGCAGACGAGGGTACGCAAGTCGGGGCTGCGATGTGTGGGGACACGAGTCCCGTTAGAAGCATTGGGATGAGCTCAGATTGGAAGTATTTAGTATCCGGGTCGGAAAATGGAACTATTCGAGTATGGGATGTGAGGGCAGGGTCACAGCTCGGGCAGACGATGACGGGGCACACGTACAGCGTGGACAGCGTTGCGATACGCGGGGATGGAGGACAGGTGCTATCAGGGTCATTCGACGAGACGGTGCGGCTTTGGGACGTGAAGACGGGGTCACAAGTCGGTAGAACTATGATTGGACACGAAAACCACGTGAACAGCGTTGCAATGAGCAAGGACGGAAAACGCGCAGTATCAGGGTCAGAGGACATGACGATACGGTACTGGGACCTTGAGACACAGTCACAAATTGGGCACCCAATGGCTGGGCATACGGGTGAAGTGCTCAACGTTGCAATGAGCGCGGACGGGGCAAGAGCTTTATCAGGATCCACCGATGGGACATTAAGGATGTGGGACGTGAAGATGGAATGGGAAGAGGAGGCAGTCAAGACTGGCCACACGGCCGGAGTGAGTTGCATTTCACTAAGCGAGAACGGGAAACGGGTTGTGTCCGGTTCGGATGACATAACGGTTCGGATGTGGGATGCACAGAGCGGTGTTGAAATTGGGAATCCAGTACCTGTTTCTCTGTCATATGTGACAAGTGTGGCGATGAGTGCGAATGGAAGACGAGCGGTGTCTGGGGATGATGGTAGGTGGATTCGGTGTTGGGACGTCGGGACGGGTGTACAAATCGGGGAGGCGAAGGTTGGGGACGGGCGTTATTTGAATAGCGTTGCGATCGACGGGGAGGGGAGGCTTGCCGTATCTGGATCCGAAGACGGTAGCGTGTGTGTTTGGGATGTGGAGAAGGGTTTGCAATTGCGAAGCGTGTTAACGGGCCATACGGGTGAGGTTTTGAGCGTTGCGATAAGCTCTGACGGGGCACGCGCAATATCTGGGTCAGATGACGGAGAGGTGCTACTATGGGACACGAAGTCGGGATCAAAAGTGTGGGACAGTAAGAGCGGCCACAGCGATTGTGTACGGAGCGTTGCGATGAGTGCAAACGGGAGACGAGCGATTTCTGGCGCGAGAGATGGGACAATAATGTTTTGGGACGTGGGCACCGGGCTGCAGGTTAGCAAGACGTTAGAAGGTGATGGAACTCTCATTGAGAGCGTCGCAGTATGTGCGAAGGGGAGAGTGGCTGTGTCTGGTTGTTGTGATGATGGACGAGTCGTGGTCTGGAATGCAGAAAACGGGTCGCAAGTAGGGGAAACAATGCTTGATCACAATGGGCGGGTGCAGAGTGTTGCGATGAGTGCTGATGGAAGCCGTGTCGAATCAGTGTCTTGGGACACTTCTGCGATTGTGTGGAACACGAAAACGCGGACGCAAGTCGGGCAAGCACTAATTGACCACACCAGCGATGTGAAAAGCGTTGCTATGAGTGGAAACGGAAGCCTGGTGGTGTCAGGGTCGGAGAACGGAACCGTACGGGTTTGGGATGCAAAGACGGGGTTACAGGTTGGCGAAGCTATGGCTGGCCACACAAGTGGCGTACATTGCGTGGCAACAAGCTCTGATGGGAAGCATGCAATCTCGGGTTCATATGACGGAAGCACCCGGATATGGGATCTGGAGAAGAGTTCAGAAATCACGAAAACCGGCCACACGGGTTCAGTACGTATCGTAATGGTCAGTGCCGACGGAAGTCGCGCGGTCTCTGTGTCAGGTGTAAACTCGATACTGGCATGGGACGTGGAAACCGGGCTTCAGATCGTCGGAAAAGCGATGACTAGTTACACTTCCTGGGTGCAGAGCGTTGCCATAAGCGCAGATGGGCGACGTACTGTATCTGGTTGCAGCGACGGAAGCGTTCGTGCTTGGGACACTGAGAGCGGAGCACAAATATGCAGCGCCTTACATGGACACGACGGAGACGTGCGGGGCGTTGCGATAAGCGCAGATGGAGAATGGGCGGTATCAGGGGGGGACGACGAGACGGTGCGCGTTTGGGACTTGCAGGCCGGAGCACAATCTGGCAAGACACTTACTGGACACACGGCTACAGTGTTTAAGGTGGCGATAAGCGCGGACACAAGACGCGTTGTGTCATGGTCTTGGGACGATACAGTCCGAGTGTGGGATGTAACCAGGGGCACTTGCGATAAGATCATGACCGAGATCAAATGGCAGAGTGCCTGCTTTCATTCGATAATAGCAGAGACTGATGCCAAAGTGAGCACTGTGCCCACTAGGGAGATGTTGGATGTATACTTAGATGACAACAACAAGATTATGTGCCGTCGAGAAGATGGTGTGGAAGTTGTTCTGGCACGGTTTGACGTCGGAACGAACAGAGAGGCATTTCAAGTCGATCACCGAAATGGGATTGTGGTTGCTGGTCTTAAAAATGGGAGTGTGGCGGTCTTGAAGCTCTTGTCTTAGAATACGACAACGCAGCATACGGTGTGGATCACGCCGTGTTGTGGCTCAAGCATGGTATGCACGAAGAGGGAAAGTCAGCGGTTTGGGGTTGACATGAAGGAGGGGTGGACATGAGAGGTTTTGGTTCAACACGGACTCACGTGGGTGGCAGTTGACGCATGCAGAGAAAAGGGCAATGACGGAGACGTAGTTGAAGCAGAGATGATAAAGTCGTCGAAGAGGTACACGGTACTGTGTGTTGAATGTCTTGAGTTGAATGTTGTTGCGTATTCGGTTGTGAGTTGGTTGAACAGGAAGACATAAAATAGCCTCGAGTAGTTCAGAGTTGTGTGGCAATAGGGAAGCGACGGAGATTTGATATTTCGTTTCGTGTGGGCGTTTACTGGGGTAGTGTTTACAGTAGTTGGTCAGTCTGTGCACTCATATGTACCTACCGTAGTGAAGGACTTGTGTAAGTAAGTCGTAGTCCTTGACTGCGGTAGGTACAGTGCATATGAGTGGACAGACTGACCAATATGAGAGCGGAGAGAAGCGAGATGCAACGTCGCAAAAACAGATGGAAGGCATCGTTTCCGTACGGTGCCTCCATTTCCACGACGTTTGGATCGATGCGCCAACAGACGGCAAAATCAGGAGGCTTTGTTCAGTTTGTTCAGTTTGTACAGGTAAGGGGCTCGGAGATGTTTGGTAAGGCATTTATTTCTCAGCGAGCTTGAGCTTGAGATAAAAGAAAGAGATAGAAAGTGATAGCAAGTGATAGAAATAGATAGAAGAGATCGATTTAATAGATACAGATGAAAAAGCAGGTGTGGTGGTGGAAATGGCGTGTCTGCGTGGGTGACACATGAACGCGGAGAACAAGACGAGGGGCAAAAAGCGCTCCACAAAAAAACAAACATCCAATTTTGACGAATCATTTCTGCGCATAATCCCCGTTCCACAACGATCTAACATCACGTGTACAACGCGCCATCATACAAACGCCCACGTGCCCCTCTCCAAGCGGCCGCGCCTCCCCTCGCCCTCCCACACCACACTGTAAAATCACCCTGCTTCCTGCGCAGCACTTCCCGCCGCGGAGCAGCGGCCGTGCGGCAGCCCCCGAGCGGGGGTCGGGTTCTCCCAACAGAGCTAAGACCCCAGCGGGGTCGGGCGCGGCGCACGTGACAAGCGCCGCTGACGCGAGGCGGCGCGCGTTAGGAGGGGGCGCCGCCGAAAGCCGTTCGCGCGCGGCGGAGGGAGTGGAGGGAGGGTTTGGTTTGTTTCTGGCAGGGGGCGCGGGCGACGACGGATGGCCGAGACGGCGCGCGCGCGCGCGGTGCCAGAAACACCCGCACTGGCGTCATTTCGCGCGTGCGACCGCTAAATCCGCTAAACCCCCTAATCCGCTAAACCCCCTAATCCCCTAATAAACCCCTAATCCCTCGTGGCCCGGGCGCACGGCGGCCGCGTGATTCCAGGAACACCGCGTGATTCCAGGAACACCGATACCCCCCGATCCTCTCGGGAGCGGGGGACGGCGGCGACTTTATTGTTCCAAGTGCTTGGCCTTGGCTCTGGATGGAAGCACAGGCCGCTATCATATACCTTACATCTTTATTTACAACAGAGCTAAGACCCCCGCGGGCCGCGCTGCGACGCGCCGGACGTGCGCGTGGGGCACAGTGCGCTTGCACAGGCGGGGGGCCCCGGCCGCGCGCGCACGCACGCGCTCAGGGCCGCTCGGCAAGTACACCTCGGCGGCAGGGGCGGTGCTGCTGCGGGGGCGGGATGTGGCTTGGGTGCTGCTTTTTTATATGTGGGGGACATGTGGTGCTGCAGGAGGGGGGGAGGGCTGCAGGGCCGGTTTCTACCGTGTCTGGGCGCAGCGGCTGTGGCACAGTGCTAATGGGGAGCGTGGAACGGCCCCACCGGTGGAACGGGTGGACCCCGGGGTAGATGTCGCGGGCCAGAGATGTCGCCAGCTCTTTTTTATCAATGCGCTATCTGCGCGCACATGTCTACAATGTCACTATCGTCATTGTCATCGTCGTCACCACCACGTCCATCTCTCTCTCTCTCCCTCTCTCTCTATTCGCAGCGGGTAGACCCCGGGTCGCTGGTAGTGCCACCCGGGCACGACCTGCACACGTTGGGCGACTTTCCGCGTCTGGCGATGCTGAACGTGTTTGCGGGGCACTCCTCGCAGAATTGCGCCCCGGTCTGGTTCTGGAACGTCCCGCCGAAGCACGGCTCGCACCTGGTGCTGCCCTCGAAGTTGACAAACGTCCCCGCGGCGCACGGCCTGCACGCCGCAATGCTCGTCTCCATGCGTCCCGTGCTGAACGTTCCCTTGGGGCACGGCTTGCACTCGCCCTGTCCGCGCTGGTTCTGGAACTCGCCCTGCCCGCACGCACTGCAGCTGCTGGACCCGCCGAAGCTGCGCGTCCCCTTGGGGCACCGTCGGCACGCCGACATCGACCGCGCCCCGACCGCGTCGCTCGCCGTCCCGCGCGGGCACGGCCTGCACGACGGAGATCCTTGCTCGCTGGAGAACGATCCCGAACGGCACGGTGTGCACGACGTCCGACCGGACGAGCTCGACGTCCCCGGCGGGCACTTTGTGCACTGTGACACAGCCGTCAGCCCGAGCCGGTTGCTGAACGTCCCGGCCGGGCACGCGAGGCAAGAGCTGGAGCCCGCCTGGTCCTGGTAGAAGCCCACGCGGCACGGCTCGCAGATGCGCTCGGCGGACCCGCTGAATGTACCCTTGGGGCAGTCGCGGCACTGTCCGATCCCCGTCAGCCCGAGCAGGTTACTGAACGTACCCTCCGGGCACGACTTGCAGACGGAGGACCCGACGCGGTCCTGGAACTGGCCCTCGCGGCACGCGTCGCACGAACGCGCTTCGTCGCTAGAGCGCGTCCCCTTGGGGCACGCCGTGCAGCCCGCGCGCGACATCACGCCCACGCGGTTGTTGAACGTCCCCGCGGGGCAGCTGGCGCAGCCGAACGCCCCCTTGCGGTCCTGGAACGTGCCGACGCGGCAGTCCGTGCACGTAGATGAGCCGGCGCGGCTGAACGTGCCGCGCGCGCACGGGCGGCATTGCTCCGCCTCCGTGGCGCTTGTCCGGCTGCCGGCGGTGCCCGCCGGGCAGTTCTTGCACATGGCCGACACCGTCTCGTCCTGGAAGGTCCCAACGGGGCATGCAGTGCACGCGCGGGAACCGGAGCGGCTGAACGTGCCGCGCGGGCAGGGCTGGCACTGCATGAGCGAGGTGAGCCCGACGCGGGTGCTGAAGGTACCCTCCGGGCACAGCTTGCACGAGCTGGCGCCCTCGGTGTCCTGGAAGCGGCCTTCGGGGCAGGAGGAGCACGCGCGTGCCTCTTCCTGCTGGTTAAAGGTTCCGCGCGGGCACAGTGTGCACTGGGAGATGTCCGCGAGTCCAATTTCGTTGCTAAAGGTGCCTCGCGGGCACGACAGGCACGACGCGGCGCCCTCGCGGTCCTGGAAGCGTCCGGCCGAACACGGGCGGCAGCGGTTCGCACCGAGGCCGCTGATGCTGCCCTTGGGGCACGCGCGGCACTGCGAGCGGCTGGTGGCGCGCTCATCCTCATTGAAGGTACCCGCCGGGCAGCGGAAGCACGAATCCTTGCCGCGCTCGTCCTGGTACGTTCCCGCGCGGCAGCTGGAGCACTCGTCGGCGCCGCCAGAGCTGAAGGTGCCCAGCGGGCACGCGTTGCAGGCGCCCTTGCCGGTGGCGCCGGTGCCGCTGAAGAAGGTACCGCGCGGGCACCTCTGGCAGTTTGACGAGCCGGTACGGTCCTGGAAGGTGCCGCTGGGGCACGCGTTGCAGGTCTCCCTCCTGCGGGTGCTGGAGGTTCCCTTGGGGCACGGCATGCACATGGCGACGTTGGTCAAGCCAGTCTTGTCGGAGAAGGTGCCGGAGGGGCAGGTCTGGCACCTAGTCGAGCCGCGGCCGGAGGCGAACTGGCCGGTGGGGCACATGGTGCAGCGGGCGTCGCCCTCCTCGCTGAAGGTGCCCGGGGCGCACTCGCGGCACGCGGAGGAGGAGTCCGCGCCCGACGACCGGTTGGCCGTGCCCGAGCGGCACGTCTTGCACGATGAGGAACGGGTGTTGTCTTGGAAGGTGCCCGGGGCGCAGGCGCCGCACATTGCGGCGCCGGGCGGCGAGAAGGTGCCCTTGGGGCACGCGGTGCAGGCGTCAACCGAGGTGGCGCCCGTGGACCCGTTGGCAGTGCCCGCGGGGCAGCGCTCGCACGAGCCGCCCTTGAGGTAGCGGCCGCGTGCGCATGACGGTTGCGACAGGCCTACGGTCACGGCGGAGAGCAGCAGGAGAAGCGGGAGCAGGCGTGCCATGGCTGTGTTGTTGCTGTGTGGGCAGTGGGACGGGGGGGGGGACTGCCGGTGAGTGTACAAGTGAGTGAGCGGCAGACAGCGGCAACATGGCGGACGGGGGCTGACTTTATAGCGACGCAGAGAGTTGGCGAGATGGCTGCCATGGCGGCATGTGCGTAGGTCGGAGCCAATGAGGCGGCATTGCGTGCCGCAGTGTCATCTAGTGGAACGCTCGGCGAGCCCGCGGGCGCGGAGAGGGCTGGGCTGGGCGTGCGCGTGCCCTACGTACGCGGGGAGGGGCTGTGTAGGAGGGGCGGGCGCAGCGCGTGGTGAACGCGCGGCGCTGATACGGCGGGGGCAATGTCGACGGGGCGCGTGGGCGCGGAGGAGATCTCCCCGCCGTTGGTTCATGGCGCGGGGCCGGGTCGCGCCGCGCAGAAGCGCGCGGGCGCGGGCGGAGGAGGAGCGCGCTCGGCGGCGGTGTTTCCCGGTGGGGTGCGGGTGCGGCGGGGGTGGGTCAGGGGGGTGGATATGGGGCCGCGGGTGGATGTCGGGGGGTGGAAAGCGAGCCGTTACGGTGTAAAGAGGGGCGGCGCGCCAGCGAGGAAATCCACGAGTAAAAGGCGCCGGCCAACCAACATGGGTGGGCGGGGCTTGCCCAACTTACATCTAACTCCGCGGGGGAGGAGGGGCTATAGTCAGATGGGGCTTTGTTAGATCGCGCTGGCCATGGGGAGGGTTGCGGGAAGGGTCGGGTAAGGCGGCGGTGGAGAAAAGAGGGTTGTCGCGCGAGGCGGGGCACGCGGGGATTTTCCGCGGCAAGCGCGGAGAAACATCTAATCGCGGGGCGCGCGCGGCGCTCGCCAGGCACGCCGACGTGTCACATCGCGGTGGACGCCCGCGGCCGTGCTCACGCGAGCTGCACCTTCCATCGCCGAGCCGCCGTCCGCGCGCCGGCCATCTCCCGCACAGCAGCTGGGCCGCGCCCCGCGCGAGCACGTGCGCCCGCGATCTTGAGCGCGAGCTTGAGCGCGAGATGTGCCGCTTCCGTAGTAGGGACAAGGTGGATGTGGCGGCACTGTTCAAGGGCTTGCCGACAGCCGTGACCAGTCCCGACCCCGCTGAAGAGGGTGGCGATATCACTCGCCACTGAGTCCTCGCCTGATTGGCGCCACGGTGGTCGGACCCCGGTAGTGCCTTGATTTGCAATACTTTGTGAATTGATCGATGGGAAGGGGAAAAGTACCGACCCGGAAGCTGCCGTCGATTATTTGTGCCAGTGTTGAATCGGG